GAGAATACGATACCACCGGCCAAGAAACGAGTCCCACCCAGAAGCCCGTGTCCTTCCGGGTAACTCCCAGTTACCCCCCACCCCGGGCATGACGTGCTGTGGTATGGAATACCTCTTTGGCTAGCCTGGGTCAGGTCCCCCGTCTCTGCTTCCTCATGGCTTCCCCTCCTCCCTGGCAGAGCATGAGCCTCACAAAGTCCTTGGTCAGGGTAAGCATCACTTAGCAACAACTGAAAACATCGGTATCACCAACACTGTTCCCAGGCTGGAAGTCAAAACACAGCACTGCACCAGCTACCATGAAGGAGAAACATGACTGCTACTGCTGAATCCAGGACAACACAGGATAATAATAGCAATAAGCAAAGGATACTAGGTTTATTGACCAAATCAGATATTACAAATCTTTCATTACTACAGCAACCTCAGAATCTCATCTCCAAAACCTCTAGGGTAGGAACCGCTAGTTCTATTTTAGAGATAGGGAACTGGAACAAAGAAAAGCCATTCCAGACAATTTCTGTAAGACGGGCTCTGCTGCTTTCTGTGGATGCTTTGCTCTCCATAGCCACCCAGGGAGCACAGGTACCTAACATTCAGATGGGTAAAATTTTAAGCTAAATTTCTCACTAAGGCCTACTCACTTAGACCTCAAAACAGTACCTCTTTTGCTGTATTTCACTGTTGAGCAATCACTTCAGGACACGACAAGGATGACGTGACTCAAAGTGTAACAAAAAGCACACCAACCAATTCTTGTCCAACACACCTGGGCTAGGGGAGATGAGTCTTCCTTTACTCTTGGTTTCTCCATCATGCATTTTCATTTTCCTATTAGAATTTGATGGTAAAAGTGAAATATCAAAATTCTTACACCACACTTTGAGGCCAAACCATGTCAAAGCACATAAAACAAAGCATGGTTTCCTAGAGAACTCGCAGTCTAGGGTCCTGACACCACTGAGCACAGAGTTAAAGGGGTTGAAGAGGAAAAGAGGTGAGGCACAGAAAGACCTTGTTAAAACTGGTCACAGGAACAGAGAGAGGGTCAAATTTAGGGGGAAAAAAAAAAAAAGCCTTTATCTTTGAATTTATATTTGATTCTTCTTTAGTTTGAGCCAATAGATATGACCTAGAGCAGTAGTTCCACTGAAAGATTTGCCCTGTGACACCACTTTGGTGAGACAGAAAGTTCTACTCTTCACAAGTAAAAGCCCTTAAGATGTGCCGGAGAATGGGAATGTACCCAGCTACTAACGTCCATGAATGGATCTGCTTGCATTCCCAGACACCATACACAAAATGAAATCAGTAAGTTGTTATATAAATGTTTCATTAAATATCTTTTTCCCTGTTTATAACTCACAGAAGCATCTAAAGTAAAGACTACAAAATTACTGAAAAGAACTGATTTTTATGACAATTGAATAAATGCTATGCTAGTTATGAGAATGATGCTGAAGTCAATATGAACACATGTACTTTCCTCCCACAAAAAAAACAAACAATCAAAGCATTACATAATATCTGCTTTGTCCATTTGTCTCCAAGTTGTCACTTGCTAAGATCTGAATGAGCAGAAATCTAAATGAGCAGATTAAAGAAAAATCTGTAAATACCTGTTATACTGCTGCTCGTTATAACCATTTTAAAGTTGTTTCTCTCATCTCTTTCAGAATATGTAAATGGCTGCACCTAATGCAATACAAAAAACACATAAAAATGAAGCTTTTTTCCTACCAGTAAAATAATGCAAAGGAATAGCAGTGCAAGCAGTGCATCCACCAGCCTTTGGAAGTCAGCAGGAGTCACCCTCTGGGACCATCAGGACCAGCTTAGGTCCTGAAGAAGTAAAGCTGGTGGGAAGTCCTCGTCCGCATCCTGGGAAATATTCCCCAAGAAACCAGACTCAACCATCTCTTCCTGTAACACAAATGCATGATTGCCTCCCTTAGGAGAAAAATAGCAGTGTCTGCTCAAAAGCTTTGAAATGGAGACCAGTATAAATGATACAGACCTCGCTGGATAATCAGAAGAGTTTCTATGACTGCGAAAGACTCGAACTGAAGTCTTGCAGGGCAAAATGTGGGACACATTACAGCTGTTATACAGAGCCATGTCAAGAGTGCTTCTGAATACTTGTTCGTCCAGTATCCCCAAGTGAACCGAGCTTCTAAGGATTTAAAATAACAACAAAAACATCAACAAAAAAAAAAACACAAAAAAGCCACACACACACACACACACACAAAAAGCCCAACTAAAAAAACAAAGCTGAAAATTGCTTTTATTATCTGAAAACATGAAACAGGGCTCCTCTGGGCTCATGAAGCTCTCCAACAACTTTAGAAAGAAAAAAAGAAAATCTTTAAAAACTTTAGACAAGAAATTCTTGGCAGTGGGGATGGGATGGCTAGCTTGCCCCAGATGTCACTTTGGGGTTTTGCTGTTTGGAACTGCTGGACTGGATTTACCTCCAGGGCTTTCCTACTGAAGCTCTTGCTTCACCGGGAACACCCTCCACATACATGAACTAAATTACCTGAGGAAGCCTGCACATGATCCATGTGGCCATCCTCCACACATCATCACAAAAAACCCAAATTAGAATGCTGTAATAATCATGCTGGACTCTGTAGACATATGGAAAAGATGATGTACACTGACAACAAAAGAACATGAACAAAATGGCTAAGATGGAGGACTGATGCATCTAGAAACAAAATCTCCAGTTCTCAAAGCAAATCATGACAGGAAAGGAGAGATGCCGCTTTCCCTCCTCCTTATTCATGACAACCATTCCTCCACTGTACAATGGTTCTTATTCAGAGATTCACAGAGACTCTGCAAATCAGCGTTTACTGAGTTTATTATTCATGTTTCCTCTCTGCCATTCAAGATCATGAAGGACTGCAGCCATCACACAGGCCAATCTTCAGTCCAAGCTATTAAAAAGTCTTGCACATTATCACCTTTCTCAGCCACCACTGTTCAGATGTGATGGCTGAGATCACCACTGATCTATGAGGAAGTAGTTTCAGTCAATCATTTTTATGAGCCACGCTGTTACTGTCTTCCGAGCTGTCCAACCCCATGTCTCAAGAGCCACAGGCTGGGAGTATTACTGCAAGTATTCACAACAAGGATTTTCTTGAAGTTACAACTGTATGCATTAATCTTTTCTTGGGTTTTTCACGTTTGCAAGAGATGGCAAAGACAGGTCCCAGCAAAGCTGCAGCAGCCAGAGCATACCATATCCAGCCTCTGTGAATACACCTGATCAACTGAAGCAACCGAAAACCCCTGCAATTCTGCTGCTGCTCTCTGTATTTTCTCCGGCATCGACCCTCCTCTTGCACCATTCATGCTGGGGGGGGGGGGGGTGGGGGGGGGGGGGTGGTGTCGAAGACACAGTTCCACAAGCTCTACCAGCTCTGACAATGACCTATGCCCTGGTGGCATGCCCATTTACAGGATAGACTCTCCACATATCCTATAGTCTGCCCTTCTGTCTTTTCATGATGTTCACTTTCTGCAAACCACCTTTTCTGTGCAGGTAAAATTAAACACTTACAATGATGATGGCTTGTTATAGGAGATCTGAAAGCAAAAATGTGTGTTGTCAGAGGTAGTCCTAGTGATGATAACCATAAAAACCATCATTGGCATAAACACTAGTAATGCTAGGTGTACCTGAGTAAAAATTCTTTTGCGAGTAAGTTCTCCCTAGCGCTACCACAGCTCTGAATAATGTCTGGTCCAGCCTGTTCGTATAGGAGCCCATCTTCCCTACAGCAATCCATCTGCTTTAAAAGTGCCTTCTGTAGGAAACTAATACCCCAATGTTCCTTTTATGCTCTAGGGGAAGACCTCTCTGCAGGATAATCTAAGATCCAAGCAATTTTCTGCAACCTCTAGAGAGGGAGCCAGACATCTCTGCTCCCAGTTCAGATACATCAGTGCAGGTAGGATGGTGCCAGTCCTAATGCAGATGAACCCACAACAAGGAGAAGCCCAAGCAAGAAGGCTCCAGTTTGCATCAATACACGTGTAGGTGCTTGGGACAGTAGCACGCTTTGATGAAAAGCTATGCCTGAACACCAGTAAATAGCTCTGATGAAAGCACTGCAAATATCACAACAAGTAATCAAGCGCATAAATAATTTGTTATACAACAGACCTTGTTAAAAAACAAATCAGTTGATTATTAGTAATAACTATGTACATTGCAGCATCTTATCCCTAGAGGCCCCAAAAAAGGTCAGTTGTGCTGAGCACAGAACATTGCTAAAAAGCAAATCTGCCACAATATTTGGGCATCTGAAACTGGAATAAATGAGGGCTATACAAGTCACTTTATAAAAAAGTAAGAATAAGTACCAACAATACAACAGACATGAAACTCATTTAGTGAACAACTTTATCAGATACACAGCAACAAAGAATGCCTCATTATTCCCCATAAAACATATCAAACCAGACTTTTCATTTTCCAATAATAAACACTGAACATTTGCAAAATAATTATTTCCTCTTATATTTTCCTTCCCATTCCTGATGCTGCTGGTTTGCAAAGACAGAGCAGACAATGCAGATCTGCATGCAGATCAGCTAAGACAGAACAGCTCTTTCACTCATTTTTTTCTTCTTGTTTTACATAATATCAACAAACGAGATCAGTATCAGATCTGCATTTACAGAAACACGTTGTCCTATCTCTTGTGCTTGTTCCTGTGTCAAGAAACTTAAAGCTAGGCATTGGAAAAATAATGACTACCTCACCTTTTTTTTTTTTTTTTTTTAATATAAATGGGGGTCCTACGTAATTCTTACTTGTACATTTACATTATAATCATGGACTCAGGGAACTAGAGAGCCAAACAACACAGCATGAAAAATGTAACGACCATAAGACTTCCTTCTGTGTATTTAGGGTAGAAATAAATCAACTTCTTTTGCTCAGCAAAACCACAGGGGAAAAAAAATAAGGGTCTACTTACACTGTACAATGAGCTGTACCAAAGCTTCTCTGGGCTTCACATTAAACCCATTATACTGGCTGGTCTGGCACTTGTAGGTTCCTGTCATTTCCCTGGACACGTTCACTATCCTCAGGATCCCATCGTAGCTCTCCGTTTGCATTGCTCCATCCGGCATCACAACCTCCTTGTCTGCTCGGGACCAGAGAATGATGGGCTTGGGCTTCCCTGTTACCTGGCACTGCAGTTCGATTGTGTCCCCTTCCCGGGTGACCAGGGGTGACTTTTCTTGAGGAACAGTCAAATTTGGTGGGACTTTAAAGGAAAAAAAAAAGAGACAGTTCAACAATTAGCATTGCAGAGACATCAGGTGGCTTTCTTGCTTGTTACAGTCATAGCTGCATATCAAGAAGTAGTTTATACACAGACAGTATATGTCGACTACATAGAATCACAGAATGTTTTTGGTTGGAAGGGACCTTAAACATCATCTAGTTCCAAATCCCTGCCATGGGCAGGGACACCTTCTAGTAGACCAGGCTTCTCAAAGCCCTGTCCAACCTGACATACATTGGAAGACTGTGCAATGCTACTATGAGAGAAAGTTTTCAGCTGCTTGAAGTTGTTCAAGTAAGATTCATCAACCCCAGCTATGAAACATACTTACCTCCCTGTGTGTCTCAGATATGTCATTATATATGCCAATATGTCATTACAGTGTACATCAGTGCATTTGGACCACTGGTCACAGCTAGCCCTTTGTCACTGCAAGCTATGGCTTTCCTTTTTATTAGCATTTGGCACTAAAACCCTTTTTCAATAACAGACTGCTTGCTGATTTTATCCAGCCTGTAATGGCCACATAATGGGGGAGAATCATACCAATTCAGAAATCAGTTCAGAATTCAAAACCTGAAACCAAAACGCAGATGGCAACAGGAGGTTTATCAAAGTGGTTATTTTTTTTTTTCACAGAGCTTTGCATTAAGAAATCCAGCTGGACATGTGAACAACTGCTTTCAGCAAAAGTTAGGCACCCTTTGGAGCAGGAATACCTGGCACTGCTGCACAGTAAGCTGGTGATGCCCAAGGACCCATCCTTTCTCATCTCCACAGTCTTGCAAGAGCAAGACTTTTAATTGCCCCACTGCCTCTTGAACTCTCAGCCACAGCTCTGAACTGCCAGTCCTCGGCACTGAGTAAAGCTTACTCCCCAGGGAAGAGACACTGCTGTGCAAAGGCAGAAATGTCACAGGACCATGGCAAAAGCCTGATGTGCATCACAGTGAGCTTCCACCATTGGTCTTATCAGAGGTTGCCCCTCTGTCTCAGCCATTTAGGTGACAGCTTTGAGAATTAGAGGGCACTGCAAGCTCCGCCAGGCTGACGAGAATGTTTCTGCCATGTCTAATTATCATTCCCATCTCATCATGCCTATATGTCCTGGGTTCAGCAGTAGCAGTCATTTTTTAGCCTTCTTAGTGGCTGGTGCAGCGCTGTTTTTGACTTTTGGCCTGGGAACAGAGCTGATAACACTGATGCTTTTAGTTACTGCTCAAATGTTTAGACTGGCCATAGGACTTTGTGAGTCTCATGCTCTGCCAGAGAGGAGGGGAAGCTGGGAGGAAGCAGAGACAGGACACCTGACCCAAACTGACCAAAGAGGTATTCCATACCACAGCACGTCATGCTCGGGAAGGTAACTGAGAGTTACCCAGAAGAGCACTCACTGCTCGGTCAGGCTTGTTCAGCGGGTGGTATTGTATTCTCTTCCCTTGTTATTTCCCTTATCATTATTATTATTGGTGGTAGCAGTAGTGATTTGTGTTATACCTTAGTTACTAAACTGTTCTTATCTCAACCCATGGGAGTTACATGAGTTACATTCTTTCGATTCTCCTCCCCATCCCTCTGGGAGTGGAGAGTTGGGGGGGGGGGGTGTGAAAGAAAGAAAGGGGGGGGGGGAGTAGAAACTGTGTGGCTGACTGGGTTTAAACCAAACACTATATTAGTTTTAGAGCCAATTTCTTACTCCTCTCTTAGTGCAACACAAATAGAAATGCTGTCTCTGAAGCTGCTTGTCTCTAGAGCACACATGGTGCCTTTGGCACCATCGACCCTTACTTAAGGGGGTACAAGCTGTTGTGTGGCGGGTAAAAATGTGGGAAACGATGATTTAAACATTGCCCACCATCTCTTGCCTTTTGTGCCTTCTGAAAACTCAGCTGTCATGGGTCTTTGTTCTGAGTCATGGGGAAAGATGCTTTCTGCTTTAAAGCATTCCTTCACAGGAGCATTACCTCTCAACGCTGTCCTGCCCTCAACTACTTTCCTTGAATGCCAGGACTGACAAAATACAGCCTGCACTGTAACTCCTGTCTACAGGCAAAAATAATCAGAAGCTATTTTCAGGCCCCCAGACACAGAAACCACAGACTCATACCAGTGAGAAATAGTTCCAGTTTTCCACTGATTTACCTTGTGTCTATAGACCTGACAAATCTGTGAGGAATCAAAGCTTAAATCAGGGACTTTCATAGGTACCAAAATGCTGTTCTCAGCTGTTTTGAAGGCTTTAATAGCTCCTTCTGAATCTGGTGGGACATGTAAAAGCTGAAATAACTTTTTCCACAGGAGAGTAAATGAAAAATTATTTTATAATTCAAGTAAAAGAAGAAAAAAAGAAGAAAAAAAAAAAGAAAGACTGCTTAATAAAACATTCCCTAAATTAATAAAACATTCTTATTTTTCACTTATGCCTGCATGTATCATAGCAGTTCCTGAGCACAGGCCAATGCCAGGGAACATGGATAACTTGTAGAGAATGCAGGAGATGCCCAAAAGCCCCTGGTGAGGGATGGGACAGAGGGATCAGATGAAGGCTGCTCTGTGGCTTTCTGAGCTATTCTGACTGCAGTCCTCCACAAGTGCGTGCACCTTCCTCTCCCTCATTTCTAAATCCCATGCTTTTGCTGTGAAGTACATGGTGCTCGTGCTGGACCTGCACCAGCCAAGTGCTTGTGATGGGAATTCTGAAAGTGAGCATATCAAGTAGATACCAAAGGGCCAGTTTCTAAAGCAGTGTTCTATGACAACACAGGCTAAACTGGGAAAAAGGTATTGTTCCAAGAAGTAAAATACAGTTTAGAGAGAAAGGTTTGAAAAGACACCGTGCAGTGCCTGTCTGCAGGAAAGAGCCTCCTTCTGAGCATTTTTTTTTCCAGCTCATCTGGCTTGTGGGTTTTCAGCTTAGCTCAAATACTACAAAGCCTTGTCTGGAGCAGTAAAACACACATTTACTTTGTCCCTCCATTCCTGGGCAGTGTACCTGCTCCCTGCTGTGAATGTGCTTTGATTAAAGCATGTACCAGTTGGTATAGATGCTGCAGGCTCCCTCATAGCTCTCCTCTCACACCCTGCCCTTTGGCACCTCCAGCTCCCTGGGAAGCACAACCTTCCCCTGCCTCAGGGATTCACTGACTATGAGGACCATGAGGCCATGACAGGGTCACAGCCTTTAAACAAAATACCTGCTATCAAGAGGGAAAAGGTGTGCTATCTGCTCTGTGCCAACCTACACTGCTACCTACAGGCCTGCTTGCAAACCCATGGTCCAGATGGGTCCAAGACATGAGTTTTCCTTCCACATAAATGTTTGTGTAGACCTGTTTCTGGACATGTTGTGCTGGCAGCCTGTTCCAGACTCCATCTTTTCCAGACAGACATCAGAGCAGCAGGTCTGATTTACAAAATCACCCCCTGTCTTAGCCTCAGAAATCACCCACTTTCTGGATGAGAAGGGCTGTAACTTCTCATTGCAAGCACTAAGCCAGGAACAAGGCTTGCCTTCAACACAGCAAGTGGTCCCACACAACTGCTGCCCTGCCTATTGAAGGCAACACCTGATGGAAGTGAGACAAATGATGAGTGAGGAAGAAGCAAAGCCAGCTTCACGTGCGGAGGCTGACCCAAACCTGCTCTTGAAACAGGAATGGAAAAGGGAGGTGAGTCTTCCCTTCCACTCTGCTCTTGTGAGACTCTACCTGCAGCACTGCGTCCACCTCTGGGGCCCCCAACATAAGAAGGATGTGGAGCTGTTGGAGTGAGTCCCATGGAGGCCACTAAGATGCTCAGAGGGCTGTAGCACCTCTGCTATGGAGACAGGCTGAAAGAGCTGGGATTGTTCAGCCTGGAGAAGAGATGGCTCTGGGGAATTTTAGAGCAGCTTCCAGTGCCTAAAGAGGCTGACAAGAAATCTGGAGAGGGGCTTTTGACAAGGGCATGTAGGGACAGGACAAGGGGGAATGGCTTTAAACTGACAGAGGGTAGATTTAGATATTATGAAGTTCTTTCCTGTGAGGGTGGTGCAGCACTGGCACAGGTAGTCATGTGAGGAATAAACAGACAGATTTAGTGTGTCCATGAGGTGAACCTAGAGAGGAAGGCAGATAGAGATGTATGATTGCAACTGAAGGCTCACGAAGACTTGTGTCCCATGGAGCTGCACTGTGGGGATGGAAAAAAGCACCAGCCCCAAGCTCCAGCTGCAGGAGCCTGCCAGCTGCAGGAAACATCTCAGATCAAAGGGCAGGGGAAATTCAGAAATTTGTACACTCAAACTATGAATCATATAGGGAAGAAATCTAGAAAAAATACACACTGCTTCTTATGGTTGCATTCAGCTTCTGGAGGCATTGGAAAGAAAGGAGAGTGAATGGCACAGGATGCATCTTGGGGGGGATAAAAAAAAAAAAAAAAAGAAAAAAAGATGCATACCAAAAAGGTCCTGTGCAACTGTGAGCTAGTAATTTACCCCCCCATTTAACTCAATTTTCTTTCTGAATAATAGAGATAACAGTACTGCAAAACTGTACACTGCAAAGATAAGGACCAGAGATTCTGAGGTCTGCAGGCAGGCTGATAAGATAGGCTGTATCAGTACCTCAGATGGAAAGATACCTTAAAATAACCTGATTCATCTTCTCCTTTGGCATTTTGCAACACAACCAGCATTTCCCACATTGCAAGCCATCCAGTGTATTACTATGGTTTACTGTATTTATTGATGTTCTTGTTACTGGAAACAGGGAAGGAGAGAGGAGGGACAAGGCCATCTATTAAAACAAATCATTTCATGGGCAAGGCCGTAAAAAAGAAACCTAGCTGCAGCTTTCATGCATACATTTGACTGACAGTGCTCAAGACAGTGAGCTCTCACAATTTATTTCTCTGCCCCCAACACAGAGGTTATGGCCATGGGTCCCCCCTTAACTCAGATGCTGATTCTCTACTGTCTTATTAGGAAGAAGGACAAC